ATATTGGGGTCCCGGGATCAAGCCCCACATCAGGCCCCGTGCCCAGCGGGGAAGCTGCTTGAGGATTCTTGTTCTCCCTGGCCTTCTGCTCTTCCTACCACTCACATACTCTCAGTCTCTAAATAAATAAATAAATCTTTAAAATAAATACTCAGATTGGCTTCCATACACATTCTAGTGAGTACACCTACTTAATTTTTTTTCTAAGATGATATTAGTACAGTTTACAATTTCCATTTGTTAGCAGTTGGAAGCAAGTTTATTCAAAGGAGTGTCACTAAGAAAAAAATGTATTCTCAGGCATGGAGGAAACACCTGTAGAAACCACTTTTTTTTATAGGCAGAGGGAAGTGGGTGGGCAGTGGGGGGTGGGGGAGGAAGCAAGCTCCCCGTTGAGCAGAGAGCCTGATGTGGGGCTTGATCCCAGGACCTTGAGATCATGACCCGGGCGAAGGCAGAGGCTTAACCCACTGAGCCACCCAGGTGCCCCTAAGAAGCCACTTCTTTACAAAGTTTTCCTTTTAGAGCAAGTTATTAAAAAGCTACTTTATGCTGATTGGGTTTAAAAGTTCTTTACACTGCAAATTTAAAAAGTCAGACATTAATTTCTAGGTAATGCCAATGATTCTATAATGTCAAGAGTAGGAATTTTTGCTTTCAAAAATATACATATTTGCCTTCAAAATATATATACACATATTTGTAGGGAATTCAGTTACACCCCTCCAGCTGAGACAGTACTTGTACATGACAGATTACAGCCTGAAGAACATTTAAGAACTCAGACCTCCTCAAATCACATGAAGCGGGACTTCCCTCTGCATAACACAGTAAAGTTGGAAAAGGGGGCACAGAGGTTCTGCGAAGCTCTGACCTCTGCACAAAGAGACGGGAAGGGGTCCGACAAACTCTTCTAATGGGCATGATTCTACCCTTTCTCCCACTAAGCCATTCCTAAAAAAGAAACCCCCCTTCACCTCCAATACATCAAAACAAGCAGAAACAGAACACAGAAAGGGCAGCCTGTGGCGGCCCCGAGAAGGCTGTCTGACCACATGGGAATGCTTTCCCTAAGTAGCATCTGTTGGGCAAAATATGTAGATTAAATATAATCACCATGACTGGGGCGCCTGGGTGGCTCAGTGGGTTCAAGCCTCTGCCTTCGGCTCAGGTCATGGTCCCAGGGTCCTGGGATCAAGCCCCACATCGGGCTCTCTGCTCAGCAGGGAGCCTGCTTCCTCCTCTCTCTCTCTGCCTGCCTCTCTGCCTACTTGTGATCTCTGTCAAATAAATAAATAAAATCTTTAAAAATATATATAAAAATATAAAATATATATATATATAAAATCACCATGATGGAAATCAGCTTACATACTAAGAAGAGGGCTAGGAATTTCTAAGGCTGGGTTAACACTATTTGAAATTTCCCCTAAGTGCCCTAAATAAATGATCCCAATACTGTACCCGCAGCTCTGAGCCCCGTGTGGGCATCTGCAGCCCCGAAGCTCATCACGCCGTGCCAACTGTGTGCACTTGTCACCAGCCCCCCACCTCCCGACACTTCTGCTGCTTCGACCCAAGCTCTAGGGGCGGACACACCTGAAACAACCGGAAATGGAAAATTCAATGGAAACTTCTTCCCCCTCTCTCCAGAGCCTGAAGAATTTAGAACATGGATCCTGACCAGCCTATCACAAGCAGCTGCCCAGCCTTCCGAAGCAGGAAGCCAAGGTATCTTCACCTTCACCTATGTCCACTAAGATCACCGTGTTCTTGAATAGTTCATTCTGTTGAGCATTTAAGATGCCTAAAGGCTGCCGTTCCCAGGCTACACCTTATAAAAACAGTCTTGTTCCTCAGGTGGAAAAAAGCACACACCCCAGCCCCAGTGATCATGGAATCACAATTGAGTCACAGATCCCTGCTCCATGACAAGACCATGAAACCTGTGGACCCCACACTGATTCAGGAGGACACGCTCTCCCTCCTCAGGCCCTCCCACGCCCACCTCTTCAAGGAGCTGTGGCTACCGTCTGCCTGGAGAGGAAATACTTGCTTTTTCCCCTTCTCTTCCCCACCACACCTCCCATGTGTCCTTTGGCAATAGGTTCTAGTTCTACAGGTCACGGAAGGAGAGCAAACAGAAGAACATTGTCACCAGCACTGAGCTTCCCCCTCAGCCACCTACAGTCCTTACTCCCGGCAGGAGGCCAGCTAAGTCAGTGAGAAGCACCATCCCCAAAGTTGGAGGGACTTCAATTCCTCACGACCCCCACTTTGTCTCAACTGTCACCGTTTTTATGTGAAGCTGCATTAAGGGAACATGTCGGACTTAAGCCAAGGAATGAAGGACAGCCTCAATGACATGAAACGTGTCATTTAACTTTAATGACAAGACACAGCTTAGAATATAGGTGCCATTAACAGACGTGACAATGCCAACTTGGAACGAGAATATCAAACAGCTTCTTTAGAAACCAACTAGACTTTCCCTCCTCCCATGCAACGTGACTGTGGCAACAATTCTCTTTTCCTTAATTTCTCATTCTCAACACCATGCTAGGACCCAGATAGCCAGAATAATATAAATGAGAACCCCCTCTTTCCCCTACATATAGAGACAAAAATAATAAAACATGATCAAGTAAATTGAAGGAAAACATTGAGGTGCTATGGAGAGCATGTAATAGGGGGACTAAGCACTCTGGGACCAGATGGGACGCATTCAGTCAAGTTCTCATTCAGAGCCCTGGTGTTCCTGCAGCTCGAACTTGACAAGACAGAAAACCAAACTGGTAACTTCCCCTTTTTAGAATACTTTTATTTTCTTATTTTTTTTTAAAAGATTTTATTTATTTGACAGAGAGATCACCAGTAGGCAGAGAGGCAGGCAGTGGTGGGGGGAGGGGGGAGCAGGCTCCCTGATGAGCAGAGAGCCCGATGTGGGACTCGATCCCAGGACCCTGAGATCATGATCTGAGCTGAAGGCAGAGGCTTAACCCACTGAGCCACCCAGGTGCCCCTTAGAATACTTTTAAAATTACAGCACTGTATCTCAATGAGAGAGAGAGAGGAGAGAATGAAGTGATAAGGGTCCTCTTTGGTCACTGAACAAGTCTCTGTCACAGTAAGAAACTGGCTTGGTTATAATCAGAGACATACAGTGCTGATGCCAGATCATATAATGAGAAGAGAAAAGGTGGCCCAAAAAACCGTGTAGCACTGAACTTCTCGAAAGAAGATAAACTATAGTGAGGACAGGACATTTCAGGAGAGTAAAAAATGCTATAAGGGGAGATGCCTGGCTATCGAAGACCATCCTAGGCCTGGCAGTGGACAACAGCTCAGAGAGGGCATGAGGACAGAAGTTAACATGGGGAAAAATGAGTTGGACTAAATGGCAGGTGGGGAAGCAGAGTGAGGTGGGAACAGGAAATCAGCATAATACGTGAGAGTTTACATTTGCTACAGAAACCTCAAGCCACCACTTTAATGCAATGTCCAGAGGCAGCTAATATCTATAGAAACAGATGGTAGACTACTGTATGAGCAAGGCTGGGGATGCAGGGGGAACAGAGTATGACTTCTAATGGCTACAGGGTTCTCTTTGGGGTGAAAGTTTCCGAAATCAGATTGTGGTGATGGCTGTACAACTCTGAACAGACCAAAAACCATTCAGTGGTTTAAATGAGTGAATACTATGGTATGTGACTGCATCTCATTAAGACGATCAAAACTGAATGAAACAAAAACCTACTGGAGTGGAAACTAAGGGCAGAGGCGGCCGTCCCTGTGTGAAGGGCTCCTGAGACAGCTACAGTGAGGTCTACATCACAGAGCCCGCCACCCAGGCCCAGCGACCTCACAGATCTTCTGGGGCAATCTCTAAAATATGAAGTTTATGAACCTGCAACTTGGTTTTGCAAATTACTCTTGAAATAGCAGGTAACAGAAGAAAATAAGGAGCTCAAATGTCATTCCCTTTAATTACATACTTATGTGGAAGTAACTGGGGTTCAATTCAGTCCATACTAGAACATAAGCTGTCCCTCAGAGACAAACGCGTATGTCAGAAAAAGGGCAGGAGCTGTATGTGCAGTAGAGCACTGATGTTGAACAGCAGCACAATCCAGGAGCAGAGGAGGGCCCAGACAACCCATCCAGTGGTCCAGCACACCTGTTACCTGAAAGGCACCGCGCCGGACACCTGAGACACACAGGTGCACAGCCCCACCTACAGAAATGTAAAGGCACTCTGCCTGGGATAGGATGTGAAAGGTAAGGGCTCTTTCCCCTGGTTGATTCTAATGTGTACCCAAGACCAGAAACTACTGAACCAATCAGAATCCTTACTTTAACAGAGAAGGAAAGGGAACAAAGTGTGCAAAGAACGCCAATGTTATGCAAGTGTTGATCTAGCCAAGCACCCTAAGAATCGGGACTAGAATCTGTGTCTCCTCATCCACAGTTCAGGGCAAGGAAACCCACTGGTGTGGGTATGGGAGTGCGGGGGCCCCGGGTGGACATCCTGAGAAAATTCTAGCCTCAAAAAGAGTGGTCAGATCCCATGAAAAGAAACTAAAGAGAAAATACCTGGAACTAAGTGAGGAAATGAATGACCTTGAGATTGGGCTGGGAAGACGCCTCAAAACACAGGGAACTTATTGCCCGGTTCTATGTCCCAGGGGGACGAGACATCCAGCAAATGGAATTAATCGATGAGGAGGTAAGATTTCGTAACTTCACATGTCAGATGCGATCAGGACATTTTTTAACCCAATGAGCCCAGGGTTATAAAAACCAACACCAAGGAACATAAAAGGTGAGGAGGCTTCATCTTCTCGGCTGTCCACCGAGCCGGGGCCGGCTGCAAAGAGCAGGGCCGGGCCCCGGCCGAGCGACCTTCACGATGCAGGCTACAATCCTCTGCAGTCACGCCTGGTGGGCGCTCTGGCTGACGGGCACTGAGCCATTCCGTTACCGAGCCGTGTACTTCTTACCTATAATTCCACTGTCCTTGCTTTCCAGGGTGGAACTAGGGCTGCTAACGGTCTCACAGGGACTTTTGTTGGCTGCCGTCTTGCTGACACAGCTATTCAAGGTTGAGCAGGGGCTATCGGTGCTGGGAGAGGCGGTGCTGCTGGTTAATGTGGAGCAAGGACTGATGCCTTGGCTCAGAGCTGTGCGCTGCAAGGCGAACGGAAGGAGGGTTAGCATGGCTTCACACACGACGCTTCCACAGAGGCTTTTGTTTCTGACACTAAAGCAGTAACACTGCAAACAGGAACGGGAAAACCGTTTTTCAAACTGAGGGGGCTTAATATATATATGTGGCCTCCCAAATTGTAAAAAAGAAATCTCTTTGTTTTGTCCCCTTCCCCGGTGATTTTTTTTTAAATCATTATTATTAAAAGGGCAGTCTCAGACATAATTTAGTGGGAACACACATTCGTAAAATAGAAATAGCCAACGGGCAGACTTCCTTTCATTTAAAGTCTGCAGAAGACAAATGCGTTCTTTGACCTCTGTACGGAAAACCTGGGAACTCTGTTTTTGTCATGTTTCACGAGCACTGCAGCCTGATTCAATTCTCGAAGATTTATGGGCTCTGCAAGCAGGGCCAGGAGGCTGGTGGCCACTGCCATCTCAAACAGTGCGTGACACCCTCGCAGAGACCCTCCCGGGGGGGCGGGAGCTCTGGCCCCTCACCGCTGCTCAAACCTTAAGCATCTCCGCTCTGAAGGGACAGGCTGCCGGCTCCCTAGGATGCAGAACGCTTCTCCGTGCATGACCCATTTGATCACATCTTACTTTGTCTCTGCCTCACCTCCTACAAATCTTTCCTCATCCCACCGACCCTCCAAAATCTCAGCCTTTAAAAAAAAAATGCACAGGAAGGCATATCCCAAAGCAGCCAGATGAGAAGAACCATGTTATAAAGATAAAAGTAGTTATCGTGACAATGGGAGTCTTTCAGCCACTTCAATTCATTTAGCTACTCTTCTCTGGGGGGTGACTCGAAGGTTAACATGGATATTTTCTTCAGTTCTGCACCCTTCTGCCTCGCCCCACCTCCCCACTGCAGAAATCACGAACTGAAATTTCGATACACAACAGCCCAGACTCATTTGACTGAACCCCGACGCAGGGAGGGGAAGAAGAGGGTTATGCCCTCCTTCACACATCCTCTGAGCCCGTAGGATATGCAGTGTCTTCCTCAGGCATTACCATGGTCTCATTGTTTTCTTCAATGGTTATGTGTGTGGCACTTGGGATCCCTTCTCCCAGTAAAAATCCCAGCCTTGTCAACAGTTCTTGAGCTGCTGGCGAACAGCTGGGTTCATTATCGGCCTTTGCTTCTGGAACAAAGAAAGAAAACAATGAAGACGCCCCTCTGGAGAATTTCAGGTTTGCATCTGGAGTGTTACAGCTGTTTGTCGGGTGCTTTTGTGTATTCTTATAAAATGCACAAAGTTTGACAATGCTGCTTGTCCTCTAGCAATACATTCTAATTAAGAGGCTGTGACAGGTTAAGAAAACAGTGAAAGAGAAAAAAAAAAAAAAAAAAGTGCAAAGAGTGAAATATTTGACCTGAATCAGAACACAGTGTGATTATAGGATAGCAATCCCTATTTCCACGGCATGTGAAAATGGGCACACCTCCCACACCAGAGGCAGAAAGAGGCCTTCGTCTTAACTCTTTAAGTGGACAGGGTGGCCAGTGCCCACAAGAGGCAGATATAAAGTCAAACCCAAGTGGCATGCTGGCAGAGCCCCATGATACTTAGATGTTGGGGTAAAACTGAAATCCAAGCTCTCATTAACCAAAAACAGGGGCAGGACTAACTTTGGTGGAAACGTGCTGTGCCCACCCCACAGCCACAGCAGTCAAAGTCAAAGCCAGGACCCCAACTCGAGGGTCAGTCGTCAGGAATCCACTCTGAAACAAAGATTTTAAATCCCAGCGAAATGTGTCCCAGGAGACAAAGCCCAGTGACACACTCTCCTGTTTGTAGGAGATGGAGAGAAATCAGGCTGTGTTCTCTGCACACTCCACAGTAATGCTGGACACACGGTTAACCTGAGGGTCACAGCTCACACTCGCCACCTTTCCCTTCTCTGGCCTCCCCCTGAGAAGCTGGTCATCTAGCTTTCTGCACTTTTTTAAAAGAGTTCTGTTGTTGGGTTTAAATATTGAGCTATAGGTTAACCTTGTATCCAAAAGACTAAGGGAACTTAACTACGACTGACGAAATGATGGTCACATCATTCTAACACCTCTTGTCTATTTTTAAATCAGCATCCATCAGGGAATGAAATAACATATAAAGCAAACCCTGCTTACAGAAGTTAGAACTTAAGAACAATATGTCGCTTGTAATATACTCATTCATCTTAATGTTTCGTTCTTTTTTATTAATCATCCAGAGACACAGACCCATACATTGATGAATCCGTTTTTCCTAGATGTGGAAATCTGCAGGTAAGTCTTAGAAATATAACATGAGGGGCGCCTGAGTGGCTCAGTGGGTTAAGACTCTGCCTTCGGCTCAGGTCATGATCTCAGGGTCCTGGGATCGAGCCCCGCATCCGGTTCTCTGCTCAGCAGGGAGTCTGCTTCCTCCTCTCTCTCTGACTGCCTCTCTGCCTACTTGTGATCTCTCTCTGTCAAATAAATAAATAAAATCTTTAAAAAAAAAAAAAAAGAAATATAACATGAGGAAAGAACAAAATAGCAGTGTTACCTTTGAGCTACAGTATCCCCACCCAAGTTCAATGCTAACTTTGCCTTTTGTACGGAGCCATAAAATCAAAACCAGTAGAGCTGAGAACCATTTGTATTATCTTCACTCACATACCAGGTTTGCTCAGTCATGCTCCCAGGATAGCAGCTACAAGGGAAACCAGGCTGGCTGTATCCTCAAGGAAGGAAAAGCATCCTGCCCCTTGCTTACTCTCAAAAGCTCCTGATGTTTGCAGTAAGAATTGTGGTTTGCCAGCCTGGATGGTTTTTTTTTTTAGCTGCTCCAGAAAACTACAGGGGTAAAATAACCACAGATTGATTGTTCTGGGTCAAGAGAGCCCGGATGTTTCTGGATCATTTGTGTTAAACTCCTACCAGAAGGGGGCAATGGCCCCAAGCCAAAAGGGGTAAGAGAGCACCCCGGGGCAGGTCAACCACACCCAGAAGACCACTCTACAAAGGATCCCTTCCCACCAGAGATTTCCAACCATATTTTGATTCCCAAAGTACTTGGGCATTTGGGAAAGGCAGGAAGGAACCAAACCAAATCGCAAAACCCAGGCACACCCAAGGGCTGAACCACTTCAGAACAGGATCAGTCCCACCCTCCCTCGCCCCAAGGCTCAGGCGGGACGGCCCTTTTATCTCAGGTGGCAGCTGGACCAGAGGGGGAGAACAGGATGCAGATGGCAAGGGGAAGAAGTGGGTAAGGGGGCGGAACTCCACAGTTTCTCTACTCCACACCCCTGTTTCCTTTCGAAACAATCTCTATACTGCTCCCCAACTGTGAATGTGCCCCTGTCTAGCTTCTGGTTCAACCTGAAATTCCAGGGAAAGCGCCAGAAACGACTCCCAGTTGGCAGCTGCTGTGGAAGCACACAGAACAGCTGCACGGGCTTGGCTGCCACAGAATTTACCCTGATGACAAACAAGGCCACAGCCTGTTGCTCACACGGGGCTCACTCTGAGACCCTGCATCCCACACAGGTCCTTGGGGAATGGGGTGCCCCCTAGGGAGCCACTGCTGCCTCCACACTGTGTCCACAGACAGACACCCCAAATTGCCAAGGTTTTCATGAAAACATATATATATATATATATATATAGAATATGCGTGTGTGTGTATATATATATATACATATATATATATTCTATATATTTTTTTTTACAGATTTTATTTATTTGACAGAGAGATCACAAGTAGGCAGAGAGGCAGGCAGGGAGAGAAGGTGAAGCAGGCTCCCTGCTGAGCAGAGAGCCCAATGAGGGGCTCGATCCCAAGACCCTAAGACCATGACCTGAACCAAAGGCAGAGGCTTAACTCACTGAGCTACCCAGGCGCCCCCAAAACATATACTGATGCAGAGACAGCTGACTTCTCATCCAAACCTCCCCCTTCAGACAAGCTGGGAGCTGGGGCAATCCCCAGGTACAATGTCTGGATTGACAGGACAGCCCTCCAAGCTCACAATCAACTTGTCCTCTTAACCATTCAGTCTGCACTCAGTTGCCACCAAAGTTCCCAAACTTCACCTGGGTTCAGGATGCATGAATAGACATCCTTCATTTCAGGTTTAGCAACTAGTAAGTCACCGCTATTTCATTTTGTCCAAAAGCTTCCCAACTGTCTTTTCATATTATTCTCTTTGTTCTCAAATGTCATTCCAGTGACCTTCCCTTCAGAAGCCTCTTTCAGTTTGAATCCCTTAATCCACGTTAAGCCGTCCACATTTTCCCCTCCCTAACGTACAGATTTCTGAACTTTCTGAACTTTCCATTCTGGCAGAAGGACCCCTGGGTGAAGAGTGACAGTGCCATTTTGGGAGAGATGAGTTGCCTACAAACTCACACTGATACACTGAACTGTGAAATTAAAATACATTTCTACTTCCACAGCCGATCAACAAATACTAAGATTTGAACAGTCAGATAAGATTTCCTTAGAACGCATTCATACTCCAAAATGAAAATCCAGTGGGACACTCTAAATGGAAAGTATTTTCATTCATGTAGCTAATATTAAAACACTCACCAATAATAGGTATACCTTACCCGAAACCACTGTTAGGATATGAACTGGAGATAAAGACATCACATCTTAGCAACACTTTACATCTCACAAATTCCAATACCCAAAGAATTTATGATGGCTGTATTTGGAGTTGAGAGAATAATTGGCCTCACACTTCCTGGGAATCCATTAGACAAGTGGAGAGTGATTCCTTCCCGATAATGTTTTCATGGAATCCTCACTATCACACCATAATGGAATAATCAAGTGGAAAAAGGCAAAGGGAATTTCTTGGGTCACTTCCTGTCTCTTTTTAACTAATCACACTTGGATTTGTGGCACCAACCCTCAAGTACAGTCCATACACTGACCAGCTCCCCAGTTACCACCCCCATAACGTCAAAGCCATTTGTGCCTCTTATAACCATCCCCCCATCCTTCCCTTCAGCCTCAGAAGAAAGGTCTTCTTCTCCCTACCAAAGCTATTCTGGACCACTTACTGTGTGAACCTCTTTAACCCTCAATCTCCTCATGAGGGAAGTGGCCATAATCACTTCTTAAAGGTCGTGAGCTTACCAAAAAAAAAAAGTGAGAAAATAATTTATATACCAAGCATCTTCGAGATAAGATGCTATATCAAAGTTGGTCATTATTTCTACCAACTCTAACAGCAAGAGTCCACTTTCTCACTATTATTTCATTTTCTGGTTTCTCAGATTTCTATCTATATTCAATTTCTCTTAGCTAACAAAAAATAGTTTTTTTGTTGATGACTTTTCTGTCTTAAGTAACTTTTTCTGAACCTCATTATTCCTTGAAGACAACAAAAAATTTCCTTTTTCTAATTATCAAACTGTTCCCACTTGGCCCACACTAATTGCTTTCATTTCTTATCTCATCATTCTCTCTTCTTAAAGTCGGACTATGTTAAAACCGTGGAGGTTCCTGGGGATGACGAAAGATCATTCTAGCAAGACACGCCCTTTCCCTTCTCTCATCCTCCTCAAACTCTATGAATTTGGACACCACTGACAACGTTCAGCCATTTACTACCAAGTGACTCTGAGCAATTGACTTAATATCCATTTCCAAGATAGTACTTCTGAACGGAGTCTGTTAAATGAGACACAGCTTCATGTTAAGTCCCATCCTCTGCTTCTAAATGTCCATGATCTCCTTCTTGCTAAACTTCTTGCCCTCCTTGCCTTCTATTTACATCCTGTTTCTACCTGACTGCTCCTTCTCCTAAGCCACCCACCTTCCCTCCTCCTTGAATTTTCAAAAATAGTATTTATAGAGGAGTACCTACCCACGGACCTAAGCTGACTGCCATTAATTGGTTTCTAGTCCTGAATAAAAAAATATACTTATCACACAAGTTATCTTTAAGCTCTCCATCCCATTCACCCCATACTGAAACTATTATCAAAGCTTACCATTTCCTCTTTCAAAATATCCCTGAATTAGTCTCTTTCTTTCTAGTCATACTGCCACTTATCAAGTCCTCATCCCCTCAAGTCTAGGTAATTATCAGACTCTGGACCAATTTTCTCATCTCTTTTTATTTTCTGTCTTCTTTTCCTTCCTCAAAGCCAGTCGTTCTC